AGGACAGGCCTCGGTGTGAAGCTCTGCCTACACTGAGGGCAGCTGTGGATCTTCTTCTCATCCTCTCCATCCCAGAAGCCTTTCATACACTTCATGCAGTAGCTGTGTCCACAGGAAGTCGTCACCGGATCCTTCAGTAGATCCAGACAGATCGAACAAGAGAAGGTTTCCCGGTCCAGCTGAACTCCTTTCTGCGCCATTTCCCCTCTCAGTGGCAGCGAGTGTCTGAGTTTCACTTCCTGAGAGCTGAAACTATGTGAGCTGTGATCTGAACAGGATGTGTGTGTGCAGTGAATGTGGCCTATCAGCTCTTGTACTTTACCCACATGTTGGTTACACCCATCCCCCTCAGTGTGGATCTAAAGGGGAGGAGCCAGGAAATACAGAGTGGAGCTGGCTGTGTCTGAGAGCAGGAAGAAGAGGGAGGGCTACATTTGAAAACAGTCTTCAGCTGTAAAATATTTGTTTTAAATTCAGGCTTTTGTAGCAAACAGCTCCACACTCATGGTGGCAGTGGTGAAAGAAGTACTCAGATATTCTACTAAAGCAAAAGTAGAAATACTACAGGGTAAAAATACTCTGTAACAAGTAAAAGTACAAAAGCATTGGTATCAAAATATACTTTAAGTACCAAAAGTAAAAGTACTCCTTATGCATAATGGCCCTTTTCAGAATCGTATATATATATATATATATATATATATATATATATATATATTGAGTTACTATAATGATTATTGATGTGTTTTATCACAGTTAGTAAATGTAGAGCTAATTTGAGCAACTTTATGTCCTGCTGCTGGATATCTTATCCTATAAATATCTGTCAAAGTGTATTTAATAACTGATTTATATTTTGAATGATCTACTAATCTATATCTAACTAGTAACTAAAAGCTGTCGAGTAGAAGTATAAAGCAGCATAAACTGAGACATATTGGCATCAAAAAATAGTTAAAGTACCAAAAGTAAAAGTACTTACTGCGCCCAATGTCCCATTTTAGAATCTTATATTGAATTACTGGATTCTTTCATTTTGTTTACGTTAATGTGTTCATCACAGCTGTTAAAAGTGGAGCAACGTTCACTTTATATACTGCTGCTGGATATTTTATAATAATAATAATAATAATTATATATCACTGTTTATTCATATTTTGTTTAATCTAATCATTTGTATTTGTAAAGTAACTAGTAACTCATTTTGTCAAATAAATGCAATGCTTTCTGCGGTCATGACTACTTCACTTTGACTGTGGTCTTTTTTCAGCTCTTTAATGAATAAGAAAACCCCCTGCAGTCGTATATTTTCCAGACCTGAGGTGGTTTACAAATATCTCCTGGAAATGAATTCACAAGGCAGTAAAAACTGAAAATCCATGCTTTTTCCTCATGACTTCTTTCAGTCAGGTAACACAGTATCTGGGATGCATTGTCTTCAAACTGTTAACTCTGTATGTAAGGACTCCACGGTGCAGACCCATGGAGAGAAATCAAGTGTAGTGATTGTCTCTGGTGCTCCAATGTATAGTAAATGTTCTTCAGCCCCACCCTTGGAACAAACTCCCAGCAGCTTCACATCTGATAATCACCACCGGACAGGTCAGGAATTATATTCTATTCTATTTTATTTGTAGTGTATGAGTTTGAGATTGTGCACTATATACTCAACATGTTAGGTACAAACCATTTACGGTTAAACAGAAAAGGTTCAAATCCCCTGTTACCTGTAAGAAAACTAAAGCTCAGAATTGTTAAACAGAGGATTGGCATTCATATCATCTGACACCATATCTGTCTGCATGCCATATCCCGCATTAACCACAGAGTAGCAGCCTTGCCTCTTAACCCATTCATATACCACCCTTTATGTATACAGTCTATGATTCCAGCAAATTAAACTAAAAGCATTAGATTCCTCACTAAACTGTGTTCCTCAGATCAGGGGAATGTTTTATGAGTGGCATTAAACTGCAGTCTGATCTCATGTGAACTTCAGGCATGTGGTTTGGGTTGAGGTGAGGTTAAGTATAAAGTAGCATAAAATGAAAGCACTGAAGTAAAGTACACACGTCAAAAAAATACTCAAGTAAAATACTTGAGTAAATGTACTTAGTTACTTTACACCACTGACCACCACACAATAAAGACTGTAAGTTAACACCACCATGTGCAATGTATAATATCCACTCATGTAACACCATTGTACATGCGTGAAACCATGGGCGTCGCAGCCATTATAAGAGTGTGGGACAAGTCCCCCCCACTTTTTCAAATGATTAGTTTAGACCCCCCCACTTTTACTATGCGGAAAGTCCGTGAATCGGTCTATCCACTCGCCGCACTTTGTAGAGCGCTGTGTCAGTGCTTTACTATCAAATGAAATCCATTCCACTTGCTTATTGAGAGAATGCCCAAATCAATGAAACTCCGTACCATGTTTTCACTGCTACTTTGTACCAAGGCAGATTCTCACATAGCGCGCGCATGTTCAAGGAGTGTTGTCATAGTTGGACAGCTCAGGGGCCTCATTTATAACGCCTTGCGTAGGATTGACGTGAGAAGGTTGCTTACGTAGTACAAAGCAAAAAAATAGGTACAGAGATTTTCCGACATTTTCCGATTCACAAAACATTGCGTACCGGTGAGGGAAGTGCGTACCGGCACTTCATACGCCTGTTTCCCTTTATAAATCACAATCGACTCGAAATGCGGCGCAGCTTTTGCAGGCTTCACGTAACGCCCATATTTGCCTATAAATAGTCAAAGAAACTCCCATTCATTCATTCATTTTGACTGACTGCATGAAGAAGATCGCAGGAAATTACGACCGAACAGCTAAAAAAGACATCTCACACCGTGTCAGATTTTGGTTATTTTGGGGAGGTCGAGATAAATCATATTGTTTGGTGGATGCAGTTTGAACCAGAGTAGCAGCATGGAGGTCGGATCGTCACCAAAATAAATAAATAAGTGGTCCGAAAAAAGTTAATGACAAAAAAAATACACATAACCTTCCTCAGGCAGTGTGTTTGTCCCGGGGACAGGAGACACCCCCTTGATGAGAAACTGTAAGAAATGATCGGGGAATCCCTCCGGAGTGGAGTCATGACGACTGGATCTGAATTATTTTGTTGTATTTGGTGGTTTGTGTTCCAGCTGTCGATCAGCAACTATATATCCATAATCCACCAGTTAAAGGAAATACAACTAATGTGTTGTGTTATATTAGCTGTACAATTTACCACATATGGTGTTCTTAGTTTCCATACCTCCTGTGTTTTACGAGCGACTTATCAAGTCTTGGCAAACGGCATAAAACACGATTAAACGTGATAGTATATAAAACCATGCTCGTATCTACAACCTATAGAAATGCAAAACGGCGTCAGTTTAGACGTTATTCTGTCCTCCTGCTTACCGCATCATTTATGAGAAAACATTTCATAACATTAACACAACATATTCGAGGTGGTTTTAAATAACATATCCGTATTTATTTATTTCCCCAAGTTATGTTTTTGTGTGCACTGAGGAGTCTCAAACAGGCGTTTGTTTAATCATTTTAAGATTGGCTTTAATCAATGTTTGAAAATGAATTCTTCATATGATAAATCACTACAAGGTAACATTTTATTTATTTCCACATATTTCTCTCCATTCTTCCTTCTGCCAACGGTGTCGCAGTTTCTCGTCTCTCCCGTTGTTGTGCTTAGTGCGTACGCATGGGTTACAGTTTGCGTGGAGGACCGCACATTTTCCCGTCAAGTTAGTATTTTATAAATCGCAAACATTGCGTAGAAACTGGCGTACGCCATTTTTTGAGCGTATATCCCTTTATAAATGAGGCCCCTGATCTGTTGTATGAAGCGATGCCGGTAGCGGAGGTAAGGCACACACACCAAATGTTCGGGAAATGGTTAATACAGCGAAAATCAAAGCTGACGATCTCTTGGTTTGATATGTTTTCTCCCCCAGACAACATGGGCATAAGAACATTTTTTTCAAAGAAGAGGAAAGTAAGTCATCAGCTGGTAGCAGTTAACAGTGATGGCGGCGTCTCACTTCTGGAGAGGAGTTTCGTCTTTATGTCATGGTAGAGAGATACCTACTGCTTGGGACTTTGAGTCTTCAAAATGTCCAATGTCACAGACTGGGACTTACTTTAGAGTCAGTTGTATTTACATTCAGTATGTCTTGTTATGATTCAATGTGAAAGAGTATACTGCTCAATAAATAATTATCACTTCACCACCTCTCTTGACATCTAGGCACTTGAGAGTGAGTCAGAGGCAGAATACAGGGACAGAGAGAGAGGTCCATTGCTGAGGTGAGTGATGAAAGGGAAATGACAGTTGAGAGTAAATTGTGATGTGGACTCTCATCCCAGGATTTTAAGGAAATCAGTGGGGATATTGAACAGGAAACATTTCAGTCAAGGGGCATCATATGACCAATATAGACAGAAGAGCAACATTTATTTGAACTTAACATCTGTATGGAGTCAGATCAGTCTCAATATTAATAAATGCTCACAGAAGGATTCACAAATGTATTTTGCGATTTATATATAAATGACTCTCCACAACAATATCTCTCAATGCACTCAAATATTTATTGTTGTATATAAATGTACAAAAAATGGGCATTTAAACTGCTTTTTATTAATTCAAAGACAGCTCTGAATTAATAATCAAATATGTTTCCTTTCTTTACTACTGGATGAAATTACAAAATGTACCCATCATTTTCCTCATGCTAGTATAGCCACATACAAGTATCAAACCACCTGTTAAAATGCACCAGAATACAGGAAATCTATATATTTTTTCGCCCCCACACCCCCCGTTAAAAATGTCCCCCCCACATTCAGGATGCTTCCTACGCCCATGCGTGAAACGAAAAGGGATTTTGTATTGTTATATCTGATTCTAAAAGCATCCAAGTGATTTTCTCCTGCATAATCCCGTGTCCCCACTAGGTGGCGGTAATGCGCATCTTAACCAGTTTGACAGCCACCAAAAAGAAAACAGAAGAAGAAGAAGTAGCCTGATCATGCGAACATCTCCAGAATGGTAACCGGTTATCATGTTGTAAATGTCATCGTTACTCAGCTTATTTTTATATAACAATACAGCCGAAATGCATTAACATGTCCACTTATCTCCGTTATGTTCAGCTTTAGCGTTACATTGACCGCTTACCTGTGAAAACAGCTAACTGATGGTTAGCATCAGAGTTAGCATGTAGCTAAATTATACCAAAACAACTGCTTTACTATCTTCATTTTCACTAATTTTGCTACATAATATAGTCATTTTCAGGCTTGACACGCAGGTTGTGGTTGTATATCATTGAAACAAGGTCATTTAGAAATTGTGCCATGTTTAAAATATATAATACACTGTAGTATGTCATATATTCATTGTTTTAAGTTTCTTTTTAGGTTATTATTTGTATATTTTCTTTTTTTATGTTTGCACCACCATACACCAAAGCTAATTTCTTGTTTATGTAAACGTGTAAAACACTTGATTCTGATTCTGATAAGTATTGTGGTGATGTGTTCAATGTCAGGGTACCCAAGTGAAAGATGTCATCATTAAGCCTGACGCCCCCAGCTCTCTGCTGCTGGACAAACATGCAGACTACATCGCTGCCTACGGCTCCAAAAAGGATGACTATGTGAGTAAAAGGACATTTTGTAGGATTAATTGATGTTTTTTTAAGAGTGTATCTTTTAGTTCCCAGGGTAATATGTTCCCCAAGTGTATTTTATCTTTATATGACACATGAAGGACAGTTTTTAGAGGAATTCATGTTTTAAGCAAGGCTTTTTTGGCCATTGTTAAATATTCAATATATGTTTTTCATGGTCAATAAGTTGAAATCACCCACCTTCAGCTAAAAGCAAACTGATCTACTCTTTGAAACAGACACCATCAAATGTGCAGATATACCACAGCATGTCAACAATTCTTCTTGTCATATTCACTCATTCATCTACATAATATGACTTTACTCCGCATCGGTTTTGACCCACCATTTTTTTTCCTTTGGGCGTTTATATTTCCAAAGTGGCTGAACATATTTTGACTGTAATAACTGCATTCAAAACTCTCACTTCAATTTCCTTGCTTGATCTGTGAATGGCCTTACCAACCTCTTCCAACATTGTTAAGTAAAGAGAATAATGCTAAGGCTAGTCTTGGTACCAAGGAACATTCATTCTGGAAAAAAAACACTTAAAATCTCCTAAGATTGTCTTTACCACAGACCAGGGATTTAACCAAAAACCCATAAAAGATCCCATAGATTTTGAGATGAGGGACCCATAAGTGCAATAATGCTGACTCATTCCCGGGTTTTTGGACTCATTCCTGCTGCACTGTTTATCTTTCCTGTTTGTTTGTGTTTGTCCAGAGGCCTGTACTACGAAGCCGGATTTTCGCTTAGCCGGCTGACTTCAGGGAAAACTCAGGCTTTTCGGTCCTACGACGCTGGTTCTCTTTTTAGCGGGCTAGATCTCCATGGTAACTTATGCTGAGCGGCTAACCTCCTCGGGAGGAGGTTAGGTTGCAGGCTAAGAGATTAACTCAGTGAAAGCACCGCCTGCTGACCAATCAGAGCTCCGTGTGCGGAGTTTAAAGCGATCAAGTCATATTACAGGATAGAGGAAATACAGAAAAACTGCCGTTGCAGGAAAGACTGCCGGCCAAAATCAACTGATTGTGTGAACGTGCAAATTAATAGAATATCCCCTCCCATCTTCAGAGCAATCTGACTATTATAACATTAGCGTTAAGAAAGCTTACTTAAATATCTGCCACAACATAAGTAACCGGATCAGAGTAACATTAAGTACAGTCCGCGGCACTGTGAGTGCAGACGTCGATGTGTCCCATTATCATTCATATCATATCACATCATAATGTATCATATATTTCCTTATTTGAGTCAGCTTCTTGAGCCGTATCTGGCCGTGCAACACTCACAGTGTCACATACTGTATGCAGAAGTATTATTTTAAGCAACACATTAAGTTGACGAAACACTTGTGTCAAATGTAATTAAAGTCAGATCCACTCGTGTCTTGGACGGGGCAGTGATATCATAAACCTGTTAATGTACGCATTCAAACACTTTTTCTTTTACCAGCTGTATTCACCTTGCAGGTGCAGCTATGTGGCTTTTATCCTGGATAAAGTGTTTAAGTCATGGATGTTTAAAGTTTAACTTCTTCATATTTGACTAATATTAAAGTTCACTTTTCATTCAGGAAGTATGACGCTGCGCTGTCAGTACGCTTGTCCATGTTTGAGATTGGTCGAATGCTCCAAATACCACCCCTTTCATGTGAACGCGCACCTAACTAGATAGGACACGGCTGGCTTGAGCGATCCACTTGATAACCAGCGTCGTAGTACAGCTTAGCGAGAGCGCGTATGTTTTGGATTGGGCCAACCGGCTAACTCAAACATATCCAGGTTAGCAAAATCCGGCTTCGTAGTACAGGCCTCAGGAGTACACACTGTCAGAGTACCTGCGGATGAGCGGCATCTACTGGGGGCTGACGGTGATGGACCTGATGGCGCAGCTGCCCCGGATGAACCGGCCGGAGATCGTAGACTTCATCAAATCCTGTCAGCACGAGTGTGGAGGCCTCAGCGCCAGCATCGGACACGACCCCCACCTGCTCTACACCCTCAGCGCCGTGCAGGTGACTCCTCAGACAGCCAACAGGAAATGTGACAGATTGCTAAACCTATTCTTGTTTTTCTCATCAACTTCTGTGGATGAGAGAAGTTGGAAATGTCGCCAACAAACGAAAACAATAGTATGCTTTGCTTTGATTCAAAGTTGATGCAAGCAGACATGTTAAGTATGTTTTAATGGATTTAGTTCCTGGAGGACACACAGAACTATACAATAATTTAGTTTCCTAAAGATTTTATTCATCTTCCTCTTTCTCTCTCTCTAGCAGCCTCAGTACCCAAATCCTTTCAGTCTATTTACTGTTTTACTCCTTTCTTCAGATCCTGTGCTTGTACGACAGTGTGGATGCTCTCGATGTGGACAAAGTGGTGGAGTACATCAAAGGGCTGCAGATAAAGATGCCAAAGCAGGAGATGCTGAACAGGAGACAGTTTCAGGCAGATCTAGCATCCTCTCTCATCCTGGTAACAATGCTTTTCTGCTTTTCTGAAATACAGAAGAGGATTAGGACCACATGTGGATTTATCTTTTGGACATGACCAAAACTGATTTTTTCTTTTGAGTAATAAATCAAAATTCTTACTTAAATCTCATATCTATGAAAACTAATTCTGAAGGTTTTCATGAAAATAAATAAAATATATTTTAAGAAAAAGTCAGATTTCTGAGATTTTCTTAAAGAAAAATTGAAAATCTGAATTTCTTTTGTAAAATACATTTTTTTGTTATCAGAATTATGACTTTCACTAGTAAAGAACATGTTGAGGTCTGACCAAAGTCATTTTTTTCTAACTTTAATCTCAGATTTCTGTAATTTCATTAAAAAAAAGGAATAAAATATATTTATTCTGAATTCTGAGATTTTCAGAAAAAAAATGTTCTTAAGAAAAAGATTTATTAAAAATATTCTGAATTCTGACTTGTTTCTCAATATTCTGACTAAAATCTTGAAACATAAAAAAATTATCACTTTAGTTCAGATCTCACATTTCTCCACATGTTCCTAACCCTCTTCCATAGACGTTTCGTCCTCTCCATTCTTTGGTGTAAATAAATGCACTTGTGTTCACTTTCCCCCCCGACTCTCTCAATGTTATTTGTTGTCGTGTGTTACTGTCTCCTTTTTTGTCCGAGAGCTTATTGGGGACGTAGCAGTAAAACAAGAACTACATGTATTAAAAATTCAACTCAACTTAGTGCAGCTTCACTGGAGAGGAGAGATCATTCATTTTAAGATTACAAACAAAGACTGAGATGTTCACTTGTGTCCTCTTAGCTCTTTTATTAACAAGAAAAACTCCAACATTTTATTTTGTACAGACATGTAAATGTGGCACTCATCTCACATCTTGAACATAGAAACACAATTTATTACAAACTCAACCTGTTAGCTTTTCTTTGAATGTGTTTTCTTTCCTTCTTCAAACTTTCATTGATGCATTCAACACATTGAGACTTAGTCACAAATAAAAGACATTTAGAATAAAATATCTACAATGAAAGAAGCTCTGGTGCTTTCTCTCTCTCATGCTTTACAAGAGAAACAACAACATACAAATACATCAATATCGATATTCAACAAATATTTAGAGCAAAGTTTACATTTCCATGCAGAGAAATATGAGTTGAGGTTAACAGAAATCCTCCTGAGCAGTGACAGCCTCCATGGCTAAACAGACACAGGAAGGAGCGCCGCCTAAAGAAACTCCAACATCTACAGAACAACTCAGGAGAAGATGTTAAAGCACATCCCATAATGTTTGATTGACAGCTGATCTCTGTGCAGTGAAGACATGAACAATCAGCTCTCAGCAACAATGATGGACACACAATGAGTTTAAGAAGTAGAAGAGTTCCTCAAAGACTTCAGGCTATTTCAGTTTACAGAACTCAGCTGTGGCTCCATAACCATAACCAACTCCAGCATGTAGCGGCTGAGTGAATATGGTCTGGACTCTGTGGAGGAGAGTCATGGTTTCAGAGATGCTGTAGAAGGACAGAATACCTGCTCTGTGATCCAGGTACACTCCTACTCTGGAGGACTGAGGACCTGAGACGGGAGTTTTGATTCTGTTGTAACGAAATAAATAACTGTTTTGGTTACAATCTAAGGACCAAGATTTGTCATTGTATCCAAATCCACTTCCATCCTCTGCTCTGATGATATTCTTGTATGCGACTGCTACATAAACTCCTCCCCCTCTCCACTCCACCTCCCAGTAACAGCGTCCAGTCAGACTCTCTCTACTCAGGACCTGAACATAATGAATGAATCTGTCTGGGTGACTAGAATAAGACTGATGTTGTTTCATGAATGTTGCTTTTCTGCTTCCCTCAGATAATAACAGATATGTGTATGCTGTGTTTGGATCCAGAGTGATCTCCTGTGAATATTTGAAGAACCCAGCTCTGGTGGTGGGCTCTGCTGCTGACAGTAAAACATCCACTTCAGTCGGTGAGACGTTTGTCCATTCCTCTCTCAGGACGTCCTGTAGTTTGTCTCTGACTGCTGACAGGGCCGCCGTCACGTCCTCAAAGTAGCTCAGAGGACGGATGTTGATGCTGGATGAGTGTGTAGGTTCACTGAGGGCTGACAGTGAGGGGTAGCTGTGCAGAAACTGGTTGTGATCCTCTGTGTGAGACAGCAGCTTCAGCTCAGCGTCTCTCCTCTTCAGCTCAGCCATCTCCTGCTCCAGCTTCTCCTGAAGCTCTTTGACTCGACTCACTTCACTCTTCTGCTGGGATCTGACCTGCTGCTTCACATCAGAGCTTCTTTTCTCCATGAGACGGATCAGCTCAGTGAACATCTTCTCACTGTCCTCCACTGCTTTATCAGCAGAGCCATTGACGGCCTCCACCTCCTGCTGAAGCAGCTTCACCTCCTTCTCTCCGTCCTGGATTCTCTGCTGGATGTTTAGTCGACTCCCCTCCAGCTCTCTCTGCCTCTCAGTCCTCTCTGCAGCAGCAGACACCGTGTCGTGGCCTTTGTGTTCGTCCACAGAGCAGAGATAACAGATACACTGCTGATCAGTGCGGCAGAACATCTTCATCACCTCGTCGTGAAGAGAGCAGATGTTCTCCTGGAGCTTCTTGGAGGGCTCCACCAGCTTGTGTTTTTTTAATGGAGCTACGTCATAATGAGGCTGGAGGTGTTTGTCACAATAAGAGGCCAGACACACGAGACAGGACTTACAGGCTCTCAGTTTTCTCCCAGTGCAGAAATCACAGGCCACATCTTCAGCTCCAGCATAGCAGTGATCAGCAGGAGCAGCTTGGAGTCCAGTCTTCTTCAGCTCCTCCACTAAAGCTGCTAACATGGTGTTTTTCAGCAGGACAGGCCTCGGTGTGAAGCTCTGCCTACACTGAGGGCAGCTGTGGATCTTCTTCTCATCCTCTCCATCCCAGAAGCCTTTAATACACTTCATGCAGTAGCTGTGTCCACAGGGAATAGCCACCGGATCCTTCATTAGATCCAGACAGATCGAACAAGAGAAGGTTTCCCGGTCCAGCTGAACTCCTTTCTGCGCCATTTCCCCTCTCAGTGGCAGCGAGTGTCTGAGTTTCACTTCCTGAAACCTGAAACTATGTGAGCTGTGATCTGAACAGCATGGGTGTGTGCAGTGAATGTGGCCTATCAGCTCTTGGACTTTACCCACATGTTGGTTACACCCATCCTCCTCAGTGTGGATCTAAAGGGGAGGAGCCAGGAAATACAGAGTGGAGCTGGCTGTGTCTGAGAGCAGGAAGAAGAGGGAGGGCTTATCAAACTCTGAGTCATCCCAGCAGGAGGAGCAGACACTCTGAACTGTTTCCTCATTCACAAACGGAGCCTCGCTTACAACCTGCTCTACATTTGAAAACAGTCTTCAGCTGTAAAATATTTGTTTTAAATTCAGGCTTTTGTAGCACACAGCTCCACACTCATGGTAGCAGTGGTGAAAGAAGTACTCAGATATTCTACTAAGTAAAAGTAGAAATACTACAGGGTAAAAATACTCTGTAACAAGTAAAAGTACAAAAGCATTGGTATCAAAATATACTTTAAGTACCAAAAGTAAAAGTACTCCTTATGCATAATGGCCCTTTTCAGAATCGTATAAATATATATATATATATTGAGTTACTATAATGATTATTGATGTGTTTTATCACAGTTAGTAAATGTAGAGCTAATTTGAGCAACTGTATGTCCTGCTGCTGGATATCTTATCCTATAAATATCTGTCAAAGTGTATTTAATAACTGATTTATATTTTGAATGATCTACTAATCTATATCTAACTAGTAACTAAAAGCTGTCGAGTAGAAGTATAAAGCAGCATAAACATATTGGCATCAAAAAATAGTTAAAGTACCAAAAGTAAAAGTACTTACTGCGCCCAATGTCCCATTTTAGAATCTTATATTGAATTACTGGATTCTTTCATTTTGTTTACGTTAATGTGTTCATCACAGCTGTTAAAAGTGGAGCAACGTTTACTTTATATACTGCTGCTGGATATCTTATAATAATAATAATAATTATATATCACTGTTTATTCATATTTTGTTTAATCTAATCATTTGTATTTGTAAAGTAACTAGTAACTCATTTTGTCAAATAAATGCAATGCTTTCTGCGGTCATGACTACTTCACTTTGACTGTGGTCTTTTTTCAGCTCTTTAATGAATAAGAAAACCCCCTGCAGTCGTATATTTTCCAGACCTGAGGTGGTTTACAAATATCTCCTGAAAATGAATTCACAAGGCAGTAAAAACTGAAAATCCATGCTTTTTCCTCATGACTTCTTTCAGTCAGGTAACACAGTATCTGGGATGCATTGTCTTCAAACTGTTAACTCTGTATGTAAGGACTCCACGGTGCAGACCCATGGAGAGAAATCAAGTGTAGTGATTGTCTCTGGTGCTCCAATGTATAGTAAATGCTCTTCAGCCCCACCCTTGGAACAAACTCCCAGCAGCTTCACATCTGATAATCACCACCGGACAGGTCAGGAATTATATTCTATTCTATTTTATTTGTAGTGTATGAGTTTGAGATTGTGCACTATATACTCAACATGTTAGGTACAAACCATTTACGGTTAAACAGAAAAGGTTCAAATCCCCTGTTACCTGTAAGAAAACTAAAGCACAGAATTGTTAAACAGAGGATTGGCATTCATATCATCTGACACCATATCTGTCTGCATGCCATATCCCGCATTAACCACAGAGTAGCAGCGTTGCCTCTTAACCCATTCATATACCACCCTTTATGTATAGTCTATGATTCCAGCAAATTAAACTAAAAGCATTAGATTCCTCAGTAAACTGTGTTCCTCAGATCAGGGGAATGTTTTATGAGTGGCATTCAACTGCAGTCTGATCTCATGTGAACTTCAGGCATGTGGTTTGGGTTGAGGTGAGGTTTCCGCAGCCAAATTTGCAAATATAATTCCTCTTTATTATTATTATTATCAACACAGTTACTTTTTTATACAGTGAGGTAAATGGTAAATGTGCATGTATGTCTGTAAGGATGCGTGGAAGGGTAGGACCCAAATGCAGACTATCAAAAAAGGTAAACGGTCTCGAAACAAAAAGCGAGCT